ATCAACTGTGCTCAGTTCAAGATGTGAAACAATAGTGATTAGAGTGCCTGCATAACCCTTGAATGTTAGCTATCAGACAGTGGTTAGAAAATCATGCACTTAGGTTGATGGCACTTATGCTTCAGCCATTATTGAGTGAGGGTGGCTGGCACATAGTGAGACAAGCATTGGAAGGGAGAGGGAGAGAAACACAGACAATATTGTAAGTCAATAGGCAGACCTCCAACAGAAGGTTCTTCTTCCCCATTTGTTAGCAGCCATGGAATAACACATAGGATCTGCCTCAGTGAATCCTGCATGCACAGTCTGTAGAGATGTTGTAATTACACTCTCATTAAATGGATCATTGTATGCCGCAGGTAAAGAATATAACTAATGGAATAGATACAAAGGCTAAACACTTACTCATTCACAGCTCACTATGGTGGAAGTGGAGACAACACTAGGAAGGATGGGAAGACTTAATTAGCATCCCTACACAGGAGTAATTGGGGATCAGGAACTGAGGAAACAAGTGAGCCTCAAACTCACCAGCTTGTAAAAATGAACAGAATATCCTTGGGAAACAAAAAGGTAGAGTTTAGGGTATATCCATACCAAGATGACTCTTGAAGGCTCCAAGCCTTCAAGAGCTGTCAAGGGCACCAAGCCCCTGATGCTTGGTAGGGGATGCACCAAGTGTTCCCCTGGTGTAGGATTGACAATGAAAGTGGAGAGTGGAGAGTGGAGAAGGGAAACAAGTGTGCAAATGTGTCAACATTGTGTATGTTTGGTTACTAAGTACACACCTATGACAATTAATTTGTTGGTATTTCCTCCAGGACTCTGGTTTGAATTGAACATGGGGGCATTACAACATATGTTATATATTAGGTTCAGGCACCAATTAGCCTGCCCCATATGTGTGAACCTGACTGCATACTAGTGGCATCACAATGTTGCCATGGCACTGCCACCACCAAATAGTCTGTGTGCACCACCAGCAAATTTCTTGTGTGAAGTCAGCTCTGACTTAATGGAGTAATGATCACATGCTCACTGCACTTGTTGCACTTCTTTTGCCCTTCACACTACTGTCTAAGGTGAGTTTCTTCTTTATTCTTCTTTCTTTTTATCAATTTGTGTCATGGAGAGGAATGTTTGGTGCATTCCTCCACCAGGATTTGAAGGGTTTGGTGCCCTTCAAGTGCTGAGATAGGTTTGGTGCCCTTCAAGCACTGAGATAGATTTGGTGCCCTTCAAGCACTGAGGTAGGTTTGGTGCCTATCTCAGTAAACTTGGCATGCTCATGGTACCAGTCACATGGATGAGACTCCATTTCATGGAGGTGCTACCTTGCATAGTGCAACTCAGGGTGTTGAAGACTGTGTGCCCAGCATCTGTGCATGCAATCTTCATCAGGTGCAAGGTTCTATATACTGTGTAGGTGTGTGATCCACTTGTTTTCTCATTTATCTCCCCCTTGATGATCTCACAGATACCAGCAATGCTAGTGTTGTCAGAGGAACATACAGTATATAGAACCTTGCACCTGATGATGTTGTGGCTGGTACTCTGAGTCAGTGCCAGGGTGCACTTCAACAATTCTACTGTAGCTGTATTGCTTTATTTATCTCCTCCCCCCTTTGAATTCCTCTTATCTCCTGGGTATGTTTTTATTGACCTTGTAGTGGAATCCATACTAAGATGCTACATATTTCAGTTCTTATTTTATTTACTGTATAGGATTGACATGCCTCAAGAGTGCACTCAACAGGTCATGGCAGCAACCCAACTGGGTGATGGTGCACTCTATTATTTAACCTAATGTGGCTCATAACCAATGCATTCTCTTTCAGGGAATTATGGTGCCTTTGACACATGCATTCTTGTGAAATATAACAACCACTGGATCACCTCTCCTAATGCTGACTTCATTCCTGAACCATTTCTCTTTGAGGGGAAGACAATCATGCTCTGCTGTGACAGCCAATTCAGCCACATTGACTGTTTCCAGTGGCCTCAACTATATGCTGAGTGTTATATGTGGGCCAGATGTATCCCTTGATATGCAGTCTATTGGGATGACCCAACATGGTCTTGGATGTGGTGGAACATCAGGAATGTGCTGGAAGACTTTGCCCTGAAGAGAGGATTGGTGTTCAGGGTTGGTAGGGTTCATCCAGACAAGTGGAAGCATCTGGAGATCATGTATAAGCAACTAGAAGAATGGGTGAAGAGCTGGCCACCAAAGAACCCTGATGACAAAGGACCTCTCCAGGTGCACATATGGATTAGGCAATGTTGAAGGTCTCTCATGCATCTGAAGGTATGATATCTCGTTGTCTGATATTTCAATAGTTGACAATTCTGTAGCAACTCCCATTCACCTTCCATGATATGGTGGTCCTAGTTGTGCTCTTCCAATGTCTTTGTCTGGATATTTATGGCATGGTAGACTCCCTTGAGATAAAAATTACCCCCCCCTTCTGGCCCATTTTTAATGCAAAACAGTGTTGGATGGGTGCATTTACCATGGATCCTGATGTTTGCAAGTGACTCTTTGAAGCATGCATCCCTGTATGGCTAGTCTGGAAGCTGGAGTTAGTGCCAAAGGATATGAAGATACATTGCAAGGTTGATGTTACATGCCAGAGGGCATTATCATTACCCCAGATGAGTTCAAGGTCAGCCAAATGCTCAAGTGGAATGCTAGGTGGTATTACCCTGGTGATCCTATGCATGTCCACACCTGCAAAGCTCCAGTAGTGGGTCTTGAGCAATTTGTGGCACCTTGGCCAGACCCAATTCCCATGGCATTGACTCCCACAACCTCTGGCTCAGTGGCCTTGAATACTGTGAGTTCCAGCATGCTCAGCTCCACCTCAGGAGTTGTCAGAATGGATAGGGCTAAACATCACAGCAGTCCTTGTGGGTGTTTCATTACTGATTGAGATCTTTACACTTACAACCATCTGCTCAGATAATTCTGCAGGTTCAAAGAAGGCCAACTCTTCCACCACTCTGAATATTGACTTGCCACAGGATTTTGATGATCCTGCCTTCCCTGCTCACATTTACCTGTGGCATGCTGTGCTTACTGATATCAACAAGGACCCCAAGAGAATTCATGCCAGTGTGCCCAAAATTGTGTATTGTGTCCCTCACCCCACACTATTTATGAGAGGCAAGTCCTTGGAGTGGAGGCAGAGGTACCTCTGGAATTGGTTGGTGGCCTGAGCAGGTTGGATCACATGACTTGCTGCTTTGGATGCATCCCCCACCATTCCCTGTTTGTGGCATGATTATCTTAACATGATTCCTGACCACATTTTGATCAGTTTTTCTGGGAACCAAATATGTGAAGCTGCTGATATCTTTGGTCCAGAGTTCATGAAGGTTCAGCATGATGTACTGTGTCATGTGCAGTTCTGCAATGTTACAATTGATCTCACAGACCTTGCTACCATTGACTTGGCAACAAAGGGCAAGATTCTCTGGGACCTGTATGAGCACAATTTCTGCTTCAAGCTGGTTGCCCTGGACCATCTGCTGGTGCCTGCCCTCCGGTTGAATGTAGAATCTGAGCAGCTGGACCAAGTCCATCAGGTAGGTTTTTGCCTTGCACCTCAAAAGAATCCATTTACTAAATTTTTCTGCATATCTTCCTGGGAGATTCAGAGCTTACCATGTTTGCTGAACCCTTCCTGGTTAAGGATCAAGGTCTGGCCCCACTAGAACCCCAAATGAAGCTGGAATATGTTGAGAGGTTCCAGATGTTGCTTGCTTTGTGGCCATGGTTTCTGCCAGATTTGGGAACCTCACTTCCATTGTCAGCCTCACCAGTGCATGTTTGGGCAGTAGAAAAACAGCTTGCATTATTTTATGTGCAGTCATTCTTCAATAACTTCAGTCATTTGCCTATCATCCTCTGTCTTATTCTGAAAAATCCTCACAGTATTTACAGCTTGGGTGATAACTGCTTAATCCTGTCATCATCCGCATTATCATCTGCATTGTCATCTGCACTTCCCCCCCATCCCCCACAAGCATAATTACATGGCTATGTACTTGTAGTTACTGTAAAATCTGCATCCTTTTTACCCCTCATCTGTGTCATTGTTCTTGCCTATTGTGTATCAAAAGGTCAGCTTTCATCTATCACTGCCAGCTAACTGGATGTGCTCATGGTGGCTTGGTGTTGACAACCAGTGGACTAGAATTAGGTGTTCTGGTCACAGTCCTCCAACTTGGTGTTGCTGGATTGTTGTCTCTCCCTGGCTAGAGAACTGATCAACATTCCAGATGTCATTTCATCACCCAAGGAAGTCTTTGAATCACCACTCCTCAATTCCCATGACCTCCAACTCACATTCCTCTGGGAGTCATCCTCCCCCTGTACCAGTCTCCAACTTGCATTCCTCTGGGGGTCAAGCAGTACTTGTTGACCATGACTGGGTTGAGCTGCTGTGCTGCATGCCAGGCACAGCCAATTTTTACCTTCCCATTGAATGCCTGGTCACTTTGCCTGGGCATCACAGTTTCATGCAGCTGCCTCAGGGGACTTCAGCCCTCCACACTGCTTCTGCTATGAACTCCCCTCCCCTCATGGGAGCTTGCCTCCCATCTGAGGACAAGCTCACCCCTGCCCATTTGGATCATCTAACAGAGGGACTACATGTCAGTCACAATGACTTTTTTGCCCCACCATCCTTGCTGCCCTGCAATGCTCACAAGAAAATGAGACAGTGACAGTGGTGGTTGTCTGAAACCATCCCCTCACTAATCAAGCCTTATCTTGCATATCAACAGCTCTCTAGAAATTTCCACCACTGCATTGACTATGAGTGACCAGAGTGTAGTTGTGTTTCTTGATGGTTGAAGGTGCTTTGTGTTAGTTTCAATGGTAAGATTTTATTGCATGTTTTCCTCTCTACTTAGACATATGTCTTGTGCCAGGTTTGCAAATGGTTGATCTTGCCATCTGTCCATGTGTGCTGGTGGCACTTCAGATCCTGTAGATGGGGTACTTTCCATCTGTGCCACTGGGGCCAACCCTTGCTGTCAGTTTACAGCTTCTGAGTCTGGTCAGCCAGGTCTTTATGTGCATGCCCCCAAACATTTCTTCATGGTGCAAGTCCCTTGAAGCATATCTTGATAGCATGGGCTACAAGGTAGACACAAAGGTTTGTGTCTGAATTCTGTCCCAATGATTATATTATTTGTATCCACTGTTTTCATTTATGTTGTGATTATGAGACTACAGTTTTGTGTATGTCTAACCTATTGGGACTTTGTTGTTTGTGTCTAATGAATGATTGCACTGTGGTTGTATGAATGTGCACATGTCTGTAGATCTGATCTTGTGCTGTGTTTATCAAGTCAATGCATGCTTTTAACTATTTCCATCCATATCTATTAAAGATGTTTGCTAATGATACTTACAGGAAGGTATATGTCAAAGGTTTAGTAATGCATACCACTGGTATTGCATCCTCAAAATCTCAGTTGATGAATATGTTCAACAACACCTGGAAAGTGTTGCAACCCCACCAGCTGACATCCTCCCTGCAGTTCCATCATCCTCTCACCACCCTCCAGATGTCTTAAGCTCAAGGACATGGCCTTCAGAATACCTACAAAAGCATTGTCCATTGTGCTTTGGTAGTTGCAACTGGAAAAATAATAATAGGTATGTTTCTTGGTGCACATACATAATGCTATGTTACTAAATAGTCTTGGGTCCTAGCTCCTCTGATCCTGATGCAATTGTTTGCATTGATGCTTGCTTTACCCAGAAATGTAGAAGAAGTCAACAGGATGATCCAGTAAACCCTACAGGTTCAGTTTTTCTGTCACAAGAAGACATTGATACTATGGAATGTGAGGTTGAAGGTTTGAGAAGGACAAAGGCATCAATGCAAAAGAGGAGTGGTCAGTCTTCTAAGAAGAATTGTGGAGATGAGGATAGATTTGAGCAGGGTATGAGGATACCACCATCAGTCCTCGAGGGTTGTAATGAATTCTTCACTGCAGCTGATGAGAGATGTCAGAAAGTGAGCTTAGTCATTTAACCTGTCTGCAATATTCTGACGGTGGTATAGGCAAGTACCCAATTTTTTTCAGATACTGGAGTTATGACCCTACTCTGTTGTTGTGATTGTGTTATTCACCCTGCCAACATGACTTCAGCAGGGGAGAAGCAACACTATGCACTTGCCCTCATCAAATCATTATTCAGTCACCTCCCTGATGATTTTCACATTGGGCTGTTATATGACATAGGCTGTCAGCTTGAACAGAGCTGCAGAAAGTGGGGCTAACTTGAGCCATTTCTGCCCTGAAGTTTCTTTTGCTATATCAGTCTTTCATGCCTTTGGTCATCAATGGGCTTGCCAGCTCATCTATCACCCTTGGAAACAAGAAGGGTTTGGACTTTCTGATGGAGAGGGTTGTGAGTGATTTTGGAGTTCAATTAAGTCACTAATACCATCTCTGCAAGTTTCTGGGGTATGCAGTTAGTTGTGTCACAAAATGCAGGCTAATATTTTATTCAGTATCATCAACACCTCTTTGTCATTGACTCCCAGGTGCACTATCTTGACATGAAGAGTCTTACTGGTCTTGGCCAGTGGCTTTTGCAGTGCTGGAACCACTGTCAAGAAAAAAAGGCTTCTGCAAAAATGGGTCTAAGAAAATCTGGAATCAATATTCAGACACTTCAAGCTGAATGGGAGGCTCAGGTTTCAGTACAAACCAAGCCAGCATCTCATAAGCTTCCTGTATAAGTGATTCCTCTTGCTGTGAGCTGACAGTAAATTAAGGGTACTCTGCAAAAGCCACAGAAAATTTTATAATGCAAATGATGGCAACTCAGAAATCACTGGAAACTTATGATGCCAGACTAGATGAACTGGAGAAGGGTCTTCTCTGAGGAGGAGCTGATATGACAAATTTAAATATACAGATAGCTGAGTGTCACAAAAAGATTATGCATTTCAAACAAGCTTCACAAAGACAGAGGGCAAGCCTTGGAATAGATGGGTTTGCAGAGCTTTCCAGGCTCCAGAATAGTTCCTTTCTTCAGGCTGGTGGTTCTTCCTCTTCTAGATTTATAAGTTGATTGAATTCAAGGCATTCAGCTGCATATGCATGCATTGGCAATCAAGAAGCATATCTGAGACCATCTGTGTCAACAAAAGTTTGAATTAGAGAGACTAGAAATGGTCTTACCTACCAGACTAGTTAGTGGTAAGTGGTGCTCTTAAGCATTTGCCTCTTGTGGTTGACTGCTTTGAAGAACAAAAACTTCAAATCCATGTGGAAGGATCTGTCTGGTGACAAGAACCTGGAATTGTCAAGCTTTCTACCTCCTACAATAATTTGTGTTTGCAGTTGGTAGCTCTCATCCACCAGGGGAAAGCCCCTCAAGGGGCCATAGCACCTATACTGATCCAAAGGGATGGTTTGTTCAAACTAGATGTGGATGATGATATCTGGCAGGATATTGGTCTTGAGGATGATTCTGTGGGATTGCCACCAGCTTGGTTAGCTGATGAAAGGGTGTGCCTGGGGATCAGGTCACTCCTTGAGCTGAAGAGGTGTGAGGAGGAGGAAAGGAGGCTCCTGTATGAAAGAAAAACCTTGATGGAATGGCACTCAGAAGAATGGAGATGGCTGGAGAAATGCAGAGTGGATGCAGGTAAGAGAGCTGTTGTGTCATTGAATGTATTAAGATAATTGAATAAAAATCAGGTGCAGATCTTGCATATGAACTGGACTGCAGGGCTTCAGCACTAGCAAGTCTGAGTCTCTTGTGGCAGGAAAAATTGAGGGACTTTCCAGGAGGTGCTGATGAGAGCTGGGAGGCAAGGGTTGAAGAATGGAGGAATATGGATTATGCACCACTCATCATGGACATGGACAGAAATGAAGAGGTGGGATGGGAGGACTTGGAATCTGAGAATGATGATGGGGATGATGAAGTGCTTGATGATGACTTGCTGTGTGTTGCTGAGGAATTTGCTCTTGCAGATGAATATCACCAATAGTTCAGCGAGATGTCATTGACAGAGTTCTCATGGGCAGATGACTGGGAATTAGATGTATTGGATATGGATCCCCCATCATCTCCAAGTAAAAGACCATGTAGATAGTAAAGCTAGTCTTGTATGTCTCTGAAAAATTCATTAGATGAGTTCCCATGGCATCTGAGGTATTTTAATATACCAGGAGTATGCAGAATTGGGGGGATGGCCCCCAGTAACCTCCAAAGCTATGATGAAACCCTCAAGAAAGCTTTCATTGGACATCCCACTGGCCACTGGAAGGAGGGGGGGTGGAACATCCCACAGTAGCTTCCAAAGCTACCATGGGACATCCCATTGGCCTATGGAAGGGAGTGGGTGGGATGTCCCACAGTAGCCTCTGAAGTTATCATGGGACATCCCACTGGCATCTGGAAGGGGAGTGGGATGTCTCACAGTAGCCTCTGAAGCTATCATGGGACATCCCATTGACCTCTGGAAGGGGGGATGGGATGTCCCACAGTAGCTTCCAAAGCTACCATGGGACATCCCACTGGCCTCTGGAAGGAGGGGTGGGATGTCCCACAGTAACCTCTGAAGCTATCATGGGACATCCCACTGGCCTCTGGAAGGGGGGGAGGGATGTCCCACAGTAGCTTCCAAAGCTACCATGGGACATCCCATTGACCTATGGAAGAGGGATGGGATGTCCCACAGTAGCCTCTGAAGCTATCATGGGACATCCCACTGGCCTACGGAAGGAGGGTGGAATGTCTCACAGTGGCCTCCAAAGCTATCAAGGGGCATCCCACTGTCCTGGGCATGGGGTCCCATGCCAATTAGATCATATAGCATCCTATGCCAGTGGGGTACTCACAAGCTCATCCCCCACAATAGAATCATTTTGATACTATGTATGTATGTATGTACCTCAACTGTAAGTTGGAAACAAAAGTAGTGATCTTAGTAAGGAGTGACTGTTGTAACAAACACAAGAACTTACAGTACTATTGGGGGGATTCTGAATCCATTAACCTTTAGTAATTGACAGGTTCACCTTCATCCACATTGTACAATTCTGCAGATGGCATCACACAAACACACTCATTGCCCAGTAGTCTTCATATATCACTTAATATGTATAGCAAGTGTTTTTTGGGAGGGTAATGTTTCCATCCATCCCCCCAGTTTGATAGGTATGCTCATTGTCTGGATGATGATCATAACAGCAATGTGTTTGTGATTGAAAGCTGGCATTCCAATGTGGGTGTGAGCTGCACTTTTGCAGTTGAGGACCCCTGACACCTAAGGCAGCCATGGGACTGCCCAAAATATATTACCAGGGGGCTGGGATTATGGGACATCCCAGGTCCTGCACACTGCAAATAGCCCTGGGACATGGCCAGATGTCCCTGGGATGACCTGGTCTGAGTGGCTTTTAGATTGGATGATTTGTAGAAAAACTTCAGCCTAAATGCTTATGAAAATTGGTTACCTGAAGTGACCAGAGAACATTCTGCAAGCATGAGCAAACCAATGCATGACTCTATGCACATCTACAGCATGTTCCCAAATGAAGCAACATATGCCAGGATTCTCAGGTAACATTTCAGCATTGCCATTGGCATCTTCATAGCAGGTTGCAGGGCCCTTGACAGGCAGGTCATCAATGAAAACATTGGCAATGTGAGGGATTTCATCCTGTAGACTGAAAGCTGTACAATTCTGAAATTCTGATGGCAAGTTGGTGTAGCCTTGAGGCACAGCAGTATGGCACAGTAAGCCAAGAGGCATCATGAAGGATGTCAGATCTTGGCTATTGGGATGGAGTTGGCATGCATCAAATCCTGAAACTAGATCAAAGACCATGTAGCATTGATGACCAGTGAATGTCTCCACAAAGTTGTCCAATATTGGTGGAACACCAGCATCTTGAATTGTAACCTTATTCAGAGGCTGTAGATCATGGACAATGTGGATCTTGCCATTCTTTTTCATAATGCAAAACCATTTGGAGTGATAGGATGACTGGGCTGGCTGGGGAGACTGAAATGACCACATAAGACCTTTGTAACTGAGTGACAGACCTGAGGCAACCAAAGAATATCCTTCTGGAAGTCATACTGACAAGGAGAACACACTGACCAAGCTGCATGGGATGGGACAGGGCTGATGATGATGGAATGAACCAGGGGGCTTCAGGACAGAAGCTGGTGGGAACACCTGGCAGATATACATAGCCACTGTCTCTGGCAAAAGAGACAAGTGAGACAATCAATGAAGAGGTGCCCATATCTGATGGACTTAGCAAAATGAGTGTCTGATGGATGGAGTGCTGTAGAAATGCATAGGGAGCAAGGATCCTTTCCAAACTTGGAAGGCAGAATTGCATAGCTAAGCACTTTAAGCAAGTGTTAGAATGGAGTCAATATCTTTGGAAATGGTAGAGATATGACAAAAACCAGAATGCCATACACAAAGGCTTGATAGGTGCTTGACTCACTTCCTCTTTTCTCTCTAGCACTGACAACTCATTCTTGTGTGAAGGATGACTGCTCACATCCAGCAGTCTTTCTACACATGAGGGCTTTACTCTTCATCTGCATGGCATGGTGCACAACTCATTGACAAGTTAGGCAGAGTCAGCTGTAACCATGTCCACAACACCTTTGGTGTGTGACACCAGCTTGACTTTATGATCAACATGCTTGTATGCTCCATACACCAGCCGACCTGTTTCATTGGCTGAGTTTCCTGTATCTGTAAGAAGGCTTTTTCTGAATCATAACAAATCAAGAAAATCAGATAAAGAATAGAAAAAATGCAGCTGATTTTCAGTTTTCTGACTATGTCATCCATATAGCCAACCTGTTTTCCTTGTTGTTTTTCAAAGGTATGATCCATATAATGCTGGAAAGAGGGTGAAGAGTTGCACTGCCCAAAGAACATTACAGTGGGCTCGAACAGCCCCCAAGGAGTGATGAATGCTCCTTTCCACTCATCTCCTTCTCATATGCGTAGGTTGGTGAACCCCCAGCAAATATCAAACTTTGCATAGTAATGGGATTCCACCAGTACATCAAACAGGGACTGTGCATTAGGAAGAGGGTGGGCATCAGGGATAGTCCACAAGTTAAGATAGCAGTAGTCTTGGATTAGCTGCTTCTTTCCATCTTTTTTTGCGATGAAGAACACAGGTGCTGCCTGCAGGGAAGTGGAAGGTTGGATTTTTCTGCATTTAAGGTTTTCTTCAAGGAACTCATCAAGAACCCTGAGTTCATCTGGGGACATGGGATAGACTGATGATTTTTTGGGTTTGAAGTCATCTTTCAAGTGAATTTTGTGGTCAAGGTCTTTTCAGCAATGGGGCAGAGGGATGTCATCTTCCACAAAAAACCTTGGCAAAATGCAAGTATCATTCCAGAAGGTGAACCTCTTCCTTTTTATCCACTAAGGTGGCTTCCAATTCAGTCAACAGGGTTGTCTTCCAAACCCAGGGTTCATCATCCCAACATTCGATTTTCCCAGTCTCCCAGTTGACACAGGGTTTGTACTCCTTGAGGAATGGCATTCCCAAGAGGAGATCCTCTTTCCCATTTAATGGCCCAACAAAAGCTTTAATCTTGAGTCATCATCCCTTAACACTTGTGCAAAGGGTGCACTTGTATCAGATCATTTCCCAATCTTTCTGAGTGAAGGATGTCATGGGGAACAGTTCATCAACACAATACATGATGATATTGAGCTTCTCAACAATCTGTTGAGAGATGAGTGTTACTCCTGTGCCTGAGCCGATACAGGTGACAATGCTTGCATTACAGCCCCCTAATTGTACTCATCCAAGGAGGGAAACAACATGCATATCAGATTCCTCATCTATAGAAGTACATTTAGCAGACAATATGTAGGACTGACTGACTGTAGCAAGTAGTTCAGCAGCCTGGTTCAAAAATCCTCTTTCTTTAGCTCAGCCTCTACTATCTCTGCAATCCATTGTTCTGACTCAGGTTTCATTTCTTTCCCATCTCCACAGACCACTTTAATAGAGAAACTTGACTTCATCTGGTTTTTGGAAGTCTTCTTCAGCTTCTTGCAGTCTTGTTGAATGTGACTGGTTTCTTGGCAATTATAGCATTTAATATCCACATGATGCATGTTTGTCTTTTGTCATTGATTGACATCCATGGCATCAGGGTTGCAGTGTGGAGTGTGGTAGGAGATGAACTGGCACTGATTGTGGTCAGATCCTTTCCTTCTAAGATCTGACATGTGGTGATTGCCATACACACTTCCCCTGCAGTGACAATCCATTCTTTAATGGTGCTTGGAGTTCTTCCAGTATTAAGAATCCAGATTTGATAGTCAGGGGCAAGCCCCTTCCCAAAGAAGATGCCCCCTTTGCAAGAGTCCTTGCACAACCCAGCTTTGTTAACAAGTCCCATAAACTCTGCAATATAGGCCTCAAGTTCTCACTTCTGTTGAGAGACAGAAGAGAGCTTGAGTATGGCAAGTGCAATTTTGGTCTCCCAACTTGAATATAGCTTTTAGCCTTTCAACAAATTGTTCAAAGGACTCATAGAAGGTCAGATGACCTCCAATGTCATTTTTGTTCTGGTAATTTTCCATGAAAGAAGCAGCAGCTCCTTTCATCATAAATGTGAGATCAAAGGCAATATTTTGATTGCAAGGTCCAATGGCTTCCACCATATTCTT